TTATTATTATTATTTATCATAGTGTTTATTTTATTATTGCTATCATCATCATTACTTTTAGTTTCCAAATATATATTCATAAACTTATAAGCAAGAAATCACAAAAGAATTAGTGAAGGTTAATTTAGACGATTGTAATTATTTACATTTCAACTCGAAAGATGTATCTACTAACCAAACATGAAATCACAATGAAAAAATTGGATTGTAATTCTGTCCATGTTAAATAAATGCATGGGTTGACACTTCACACATTCCATTTTATAATTCCACTTTCGATTTGACAGGTTTCGTCTTAATCGAGATATCTGCTTTTTTAAACCTTCCTTTTCTTATACGAGATTCTAAGGTCCTTATTCTGATTCTTTTAACAATTGTATTTTTTGAAAACTATTATGTAAACTGAACCCCCCCTTAAGAATATGTACTGTAGGTTTCATAGTAACAGAATGTCATTTGCTGCATATCCAGGCCATATCAATATAATTGCTAGTTGCTTATAGTATTCAATACTGACAGTTCTGGTTGTTTGTTCGTAGGCACTTGATAACCAAGAAGAACTAAAATTAAAGTTGAAGATGGCACTTCGTGAAAAGTCTGATGTTTTTAACTCTGACCAGCAGGAGGAAGACAAGGTCAGAGCTTAAAGACAATTTAATAATTTTGTGTGATTTTTCTGTGAGTATACTTGTTGGAAACATATGCTTTATTCTTTCAAAACTATTAATACATCTAGCTTAACTACATAAAAAGATGTAAAATTAGGTGATGTTGAGACATTATTCGTGTATAATCCTGCCTTATGTAAAAGTAAATTGCTATTACTCTTTGCTTCTTGGAAGAAGTGGAAAGATGCATATCCTGTATATGGCTTGTGTTGACATTATGATTCAGAAATCATGCCATACTAATTTTCAGGATTTACTAAGGAACAATAAAATTGTTGAGAAGGTAGTTATGGGTACAAAAACACCCCTTTAAAGTACAATTCCTTTAAAAGGCTATATCTAAGTTCAAGTGTGTACGGTATAAGCTGCTGTTAATATGACCTTGGATAAACTGATGTGATTATTTGGATGGGATGCAATTGTCGATGTTTTAAGTGAATAATGTGTTTATGCTATGATTTTACTTTTATCTCTTGTTTGGCTATGTGACTTTTTAGATTCTATTTTACTTCTGGAACCATATTTCACTATTGACATGCTTTAAATTCATGTTATTAGTTTTTCCTACACTTTATTACCAGATTAAACTCGGTTCCCCTGGATGGAGGGAAAGGTATTATGAAGAGAAGTTCTTGGCCAGCACTCCGGAGGAGCTTGACGCAATACGGAGAGATGTTGTAAGTTTCTTGAGTTTTTTATCTTGCCAATTAATAGCCATTTCATGATGTTTATACAATTTTTTGTAGGTTCTAAAATATACAGAGGGCCTATGTTGGGTGATGCACTATTACTATGAAGGTGTTTGTTCCTGGCAGTGGTAATTTCCCCCCTGTATTATTTAATCTATCCACTACTTGAGGAGTTAATTATTGGTCTTCAAGTATTTGTTTCTCTTGAATAAATTTTCACTTTTGTTATGGATTATTTTTTTTAATGTGACATAAATGTTGGCGTATCTGTTTTACAGATATCTTATTAAGGTTTTCCGTGGTGCATGCTGTTTTCATCTTGCATTTTTTTATTTCTAACGGTGGAAAGTTTTCATTCAGGTTTTATCCTTACCATTATGCACCATTTGCTTCTGATCTCAAGAATCTTAGTCAACTTAATATAAGCTTTGAGCTCGGATCGCCATTCAAACCGTTAAATCAGCTGCTAGGGGTTTTCCCTGCTGCAAGGTTGTGCTTGTGTTTTTTCTGCATTTTTTTGTACTCTCTCTATTGCCGAGGGTAAAATTGTCATTTGTTATTAAAATAGTGCAATAATTACACATTTCTAGAACTCCGTGCCTTTTTCATTGTGGGAAGGAGGGAGTATTTTCCTGCATTAATCTGTAGTTTTTCTGATTATTTATCTTTTATTTGAACCGGAAAAATTGCAGTGCCCATGCACTTCCAAAGCAGTATAGAAAGTTAATGACCGATCCAAACTCGCCTATTATTGATTTTTATCCAACAGGTATAGTTGGTTCCTGACAAAAGTTTAGAAAGTATTTATGTTTTAACATTTGTGGATTGATGTTTTTTGTTCTTCGTTTATCAGATTTTGAAGTTGACATGAACGGCAAGCGGTTTGCATGGCAGGTCCATTTTCATTGTTTACCATTCTAGTTTTTGGTCGTTTTATTATTTTATTTTTATTGGTAGCTACTTTTATAAGTATGCTGGACATCTTGACAATTTTATGGCTGCTTATTATTTGTAGGGTGTAGCGAAGTTGCCTTTCATTGATGAAACGCGTCTTCTTAAAGAGGTGGAAAAAATTGAACACACTTTAACGGTATGGTGACTTTCGGTGATTAATCAACTAAGACTCACTGAAGATGTTTCTTTTTTCCTAATTGTGGCTGTGATTTTGCTTCTTGAAGGAGGAAGAAACACGGAGAAACAGCAGAATGTGTGCTATGCTTTTTGTGGCTTTATCACATAAGCTATCTTCATACATATTTGGGATGGATGACCGCTATTGGAGATCGAAAGCAAAAAAGCGGGCTGAAATCAAGGAACCAATCAATCTCGAGGCAAGGTTTGTATTGCTCTCTCTCTCTCTCTCTCATGTGGTACTACTCTAAATCTTCAAGAAATTTGAGGTGTAATCCTTTTTTTTTATTGTTGATGTTATACAAATATCCAATTAATCCCACTTCAGGTCATGTTTGGAAACCATATTATTTTTTGAGCTTTTTGAAAAAGTCCTGTTTGGTTAGGCCATAAGCTAGCTTTTAGAGAAGTTTCTTCAAGTACCATTTTGATTAGCTGTAGGGGATCTTTTTCCACCCTTTTCCAATTGTGCCCCTTATATTTTTCCAATTAATTTCTTATTGCCCGCTTGCATACCCTTTGCATTGTGCACAAGACGATGGTCTTCACGGAAACAACCCCTCGATCCTTGTGGTTGAGGTAAGGTCTGTGTACCTATTACCCTTCCCGACCCTACTTCCGGATGGGGTAATATAATATACCAAGTTCATTTGGTTTATATTTTTCCATTTAATTTTATAACATGTTCTTTTAGTGTCATTTTACATTTTTGTATAGCTTCGTTTTTACAAACATGACTAGTTTATAATCTACTCCAACTATTGTCTGATCTAATTTGGGATACTTGCAGTGGTGGGATGGATGGCTATATATCTCTTCCTGCTGGGGATCCCGCTCCTAGAATTTACAGATCACCTATCGAGGGAATGGAAGATATCATGGACAATCGAGTCGTGTAAACTCTATATAATGGGTCACTGTTTATTCAATTCCTAAATTTATGTATGTTAATTCGCAGTGATTAATTTTTGTATTCTGTTCTACTTTCAGTTGTGCGATTTACAAGCTCCCCGATCCTCATCCGCATATAGCTCGCCCCCCTGCAGGGGTGGAAATACCAGAAAAGGTAAATTAATATGATCTCATGATTATCTGTCTACAAACAAAATGGTTATTACTCTGTTCCAAAATAAATGTGCACAATGAAGAAGGCACACCGTTTTAATAATGTGTAAACATTACACTTTTTAATTTACTAAATGACGATTTTACCCTTAAATAGTCGGAGTGATGAAAATCTCCCTCTCATGATTAAGCCAAGAATAGGGAAGCAAACACTTACATTTTGAAAGTGGATACTTGTTCTAGGACAAACTAAAATAGTGACAGAGGCGGGTGAAAGACTTTTGGAAGGTTTTAGGGTTTTAATTTGACATGGGTAGTTTAGGAATTTACCAATTTTGTCTCATCTCCCCGATCTTTGTTCCGCCAATTTTTGGCGGGACATAACAAATGCATTTCTACCCCAATCAGGTTTTGTCACCAATGGTGAGACAAGAAGTTATACTTTCTCCCGTGCCATACACACCCTAAATGGGAAGTTATAATGGATTTATCTTGCACAATGATAACTTGTTTTTTCTGTCTGCTATAAATCTTTTCTGGCAGATCAGCAAGGCTCTGTGCTTATTAACAGCTTTGTGTTATCAGATTGATAACTATATTAATACACTTTGCATTTTACGTAACACCCTCATTTTTGTTTATGCAGACTATAATGTTGGCGGATTTGAAACCTACAACCTCTTTATGGCATGAGGACTCGGGCCGGGGACCACGCTTTGAAAATCAAAGGTACACTGGGCTTGGTTATGTTTTTTGGTTGCCAGGGTTCAATGTTAGGTCACTAGAAATATTGGGCATCTTCATTTCTTGTTTGGTCACAGGTTTTTAAAAAGCATCCAGACTTTTGAAAACTGCTGCATAAACCTTTCAGCCATGTCAGCATTTTACAGGTTTTTCGGTCATTTTGAAGAGTAGAGTGATCATTAACAACAATTTTTGTATTCCAATTATAAATGAAGTTAAAATGCGTTGCTCTTGAGTTCGCTTTCCCCCACATTTGTTCTTGATGCATTTTCTGTTTAGGGCAAAATGCA